CTTCACAGATACGCCACTGCTGCAGGCACACGTCGTAAAGGAGTCCGAATCAGCCATTTTCGATGTCAAATTGAATCGAATTCATCTAATTCAGTTGCATAACAGAGAATCATAGAATGAACAATTCAGAGAAGCTACAAACTATTCCATTTTTTTATAGATTGGGATTATCTCCGCAGACGTTAACGAATATTGAACCCAAAAAATATAAACCTCTAAATCAAAGAAAATTCGTTAAAAAAATAAAAACTTTAGAAACATTTGAATCTTTTTTTGTAGCCAAACGTGTTGTTCAAACGTTTATTAAACGTAGGTTTTGTCGTGGATTTGACTTTTAACACCTCATATGCAACGAAAACTTTCACGGTGTCCTGTTCTGTTCACCTTGAAAAATCTGCTCCATCACCGAAAGTTTTTAGCCTGCAGTCCAGGAAAAATTTGCGTCTTTTCCGGCCTCGTCTATTTCGAGCATCAAAATTTTGATCTACCCTAACGGGCTTATTTCAACACCGAACTAAATCAAACGGTTTTGATATTCGAGTCATTCGTATTCTAACTGTTCGCAAGTTCGCACCCCTCTGATGCCAATTTTTCATCAAGAAGTCATCAGTCATCTCTTGCATTTTTAAATTAATTGTTTTGTTTCCCGTGTAGCATCCAGAAAGATTTGCTAGAAAGCCTTTGGGATCGTGTGAAGGCTGGGAGAACTCGATATATCCTTGAAATGCTGGATATGCAGAGTTTGGCCGAAGAGAAAGCCTGCTACGACGTGGCGTTAGTAAAGCACATCGCTGCAATGGAGGAACTTCGCGCACAACGCACTCAGGGTGAGTAGATAATGAGACCTACATTCCAATTTTCTGGACGCCAGACCACATCTCGCGTAGCAGGGCTTGCGATTTCTCACGAAATACTGCTCCACTCATGGAGAAACGACTTAGACAATCCGGGTGACAGCCATTACGTAATCAGGCACGTGTAATCCGGGGAAATTCGAATAAATCCAGGGTAATCCGGGAAAATTTCTGGGGTAATCTTAGAGAAAAAGCAACGTTATCCGGAGAATACTCCAGAGGTAATCGGGGTAATCCGTAATCCGGCTGACACAAAGTTTCACAGTCTTTTCCCCCTCGGCTCCACTGCGACGCGTGGACTCCCGAGACGAGCTAATAGGAAGTACGTACGGGAATGGGGTCCAAATTTGAAATCCTCCCTGGAACTGTCGGAAACTTATCAATTCAAAATAAGGTAAGCGGAACCAGAGCAACTCGGGAAAAGAATTCAATTAAAACTCCGATTTTGTCCAATTCCTATGTAAAACCGTCTTTTCCCTTGATAGTAGGCGAATTCCGAGGGTGTATTCACTACTATAAATCTTGTACACAGTACTCGGTATTACACCGAATTACGTGGTATTACCGGGTATTACGCCGGTATTACACGCAAAATTTTGCCATTTTTTGCGTATTTTGTTGTTTTTTGGTATTACTTGTAATGGTGTAATACCGAGTACTCTGTACAAGTTTTATGGTAGTGAATAGCCCCTCGGGCGAATTAAGGCACCTAGAATTCTAAGAGAGATATGGCTCGACTCTAAATGTGAGGTATTTTTGTGGGAAGAGAGAAGGGGGGGGGGGGGTACTTTTTATACCTTTTTAACATGAAGCCCTTTTTACGACTTCATGATCCATTCTGCCATTTTCGGCTTATTTTCGTCAACAAATAACCTGTGGTGCCGAAAGGGTGCAAGATAGCAAAACAGTCAACATTTTTCCATGGGCATTAGATATTTCCAACGGTATATGACAAAAGTAATTTTAAATTAAATACGGTCCTGACGACTGTAGTGGGCCAGACCGTAAAAAAAGATACAGTCCGACCGTAATCTGAAATACGGTTTGAAATGCATCAGACTAGACCGCAAAATTAAATACGGTCTGAACCTCGGTCCGAACCGACGGTCCACCCGTAAAATTACGGTCAAGACCTGGCAAAAAAATTATTGGCCATCCTGTATGAAAAACTATAGGTTTTTCTAACAGTGATGTGTACACTATAATGGCCAGTTCCACACACCTTACGCAGACATGAATGCCTTAAAGTGTTATAGTAAACGCGGAAAATAAGAACTTTGCACAATTGTGCAATTATGCATACATTCTGATTTGTTAATTCTGTTTAAAGAAAAGACACAAATCCAGTAAGCGTGCAGCGTTCCGTTTTCCTTAGCTAGTAGCATTTTGCTTGAATATTAATTTTGTAATCTTTACAGAAAGCTGTACTACAGATATTCTTTTACCTCGATATGAAGCGTCTTTGAAACTCCTCCATGAAATTCTGAAGAGGAAGATGATCTGCAAGGAGGTAAGTCTAGTCGCAACAAGGCCTTAAATCGATGCAAATCCACTAACAGTTCAGATTCGCTTTCCTTGTCTTCTGCTTTGGTACGGCATTCTACTGATGTAACCAGGGCTGGCACACCAAATCAAATTATGCTTTATTGTGCGATAGTATTGCACTTTTTTAGTGCAAAATTAAAGAGTGCAATATTTAAATTCAAAATGCAAAATTGTGCGAAATTATATTCGTTTCAAAATGCAAAAGTGCAAAAAGGTGCAAAAGACCTAATATTTTACAGAAAGATGGGCTCATTTGGTCGACGCACAACTGTTCTAAAAAACAAAATATTTATTTTAAATAAAATAGGCAAAATAAATTGAGTAAAAGCTATTTTACCTTGTTAACGCGCGCCCGGTCGAAATTCTTTTTTATTTTTTTATTTTTATTTCAAGTTAGTTTTGGAATTAAAAAGATTTATAACGAGTGAGCGCGCAAAAAAAAATATCCTAATTACGAATAATTAAGGTAGGTAATTTCAAAAAAATGGATTAAATATTTAGGAGGGTTGGCAATCTCGTACCCCTCCCAATTATTTCCCCCTCCAACTTCCCTGTCCCGATCTGTAGCAACAGATGCACATTGTGGGTCCCGAGTTGGGGCTGTGTTTCAACGGAGGTAGGTACCTGGCTTTCCTCGTTCTTGTCACACTGCCAGGCATTTCTGCACAGCTGGCGGAAGCGTGACTAACCGTACAGTCACATGCTTATAGCTTTCCTAAGAGTAACTAATAGAAGAACAACTGTTCGTGCCGGACACATTGCCGTGAGGAATGGCTCCAAGGTGGGGACGTCACACAAGAGCGAATCGTTACAGTGACCGTGTTGTGACACAGCACCGCT